AGTTAATTCAGCAAACGGATAGGATGGAAATCTATAGCACCATGTAAAAATGTCAGCCAGGGAAACTGACTCGCTCTGTGGCTGCAAGATCATCAGCCTTGCCAGCGTTTGAGAGGAAGCAAACAAGGAAAAGAGTAGAACTACCTCTTTTGGTGAAAATGTAAATTTCCAGCAGATAAGATGTAAAATCAAAACACACATTCGTCAGAGATGAGATGACATCCTAAACTGCATTGACTGTGTAGCTTGAGCAAAAACTGCTTTATGCTGGCTTAGGTAGTCTAAGGGGATGCAATACCATTCTAAGTAAATAGAAACATTTTTCTTTTTATGAAATATCATCTATCTGTATATGTGTACATATATAGATTTAATAGTAATCATATTCAGTACATAATACAGGTGAGAAACATTGTAAAGGTTCAAAACAAATTCCTCTAGTACTATGACTAAATGAGCTCTTTCTCATTATTGATCTTTTTATGTGTTTTTTAATCTGTTGTAGAAGCATGCTTTAAAACAAAGTTACATTGAATGATTGTGCTGTGCAGGATCACTGAGTGATGTTACGTTTTATAGGTCTCACCTGGGGGAAAGTCTCTTGAGAAAGAGACTGGAACAAGAACAAGAAAGGAGTGACTGGTGGGGTGAAAGTGCTGATCTGAGGGGAAGGAATAGTGAGAGGATAGTACGGTAAGAAGGTCCTTAAGTGTGGCTGCTTGASTTTGGCTTCTTGAAATGTTAGAAAGAGAAGTTTACCCAGAAAACCTTTAAGGCAAGTAAAATGTAAAATCTCCAAAGAACAAGATACTCAGTACGATATCCAGATTCACTAGACAAAATTATCTCATATTCATTTTTCTGCTGTAGATAGCTGTTTGACTTCCTGTAAGAGTCAGTGTCTCAGGTTCCATTCAGTTCAGGATTCAGCATTCATCTGTGAATCCTTCCATTTGCTAGTTGTCCTACACCTGTGCTTGATTTACAAGAATGCAAATAAGAATACCTTATTCCCCACAGCACTCATTTCTAGCCTGTCTCATCAGCTGAGTCAAATATTATCAGCAATTGGGGCCTTAAGGACAGTCATAGTTTGGTAGTTACCCACCTGCTATTAATTAAGCAACATACGGTTAGTCAGTCTTTGAGCTTTGCTCAGTAAAAGCTACTTTTAAGGCTCCCACTGTGGGGAAAAAGTCTTGATGAACCTTTTGGAAAGGGTATACCTAAAATGAAGAAAGAAGGGAGCCCTGCTTAGAAGGAAGAGGTAAGATTCTTGTTTTGATATTTTCCTTGTATATGTTATTTCTAGTTTAACTACAGGAGAGAAGGTGTTGAGGAATTAGATTTTTAACTAGCCTTGTTACTTTCTTCTTACTTGCTTTTAAAATCAGTGTTTGGCTGCAAGCCCCTCCACTGTTAAAGTAGTCATGTACATGTGAGTTACTAGCTAGCAGGCACTCTTTAATAATTTGTTTTTAATATGAAGTCCAGGAATTTATAATGCTTCTTCTGGCTTGAAATTTTATTAAAAGGGAAATTCTTTAGAAATAACTGATCACCAGTAAAGATAAGGCAAATGTAAGTTGGAGTCTTTAAAAAAAATGAGCATTGTATGTCACACTGGCATATATTAACGTGCCTTGGAAAATCAAGCTTGAGAAAACTTATTTCAAGTGATAAAGCATAGAAGAAATGATTAAAAAATAAATGGGGGAGGAAATAAGATTACATAAGCAGCACCTGAGGCAAGATGCAATACGGGCAAAATCAAACCGGGTGAAGGAAACCTGGGCAAACTTGACAGATACCCTTTCTGTTATTGACTGAGCAGCGTAGCATTTTAYTTTCTAGCTTGCAATAATTCAGTTTCATGTGATTAGCATGCTGTGCAAATGAACTTATTGCTGTGCATAAGATACTCCCTTCTCTGTGGAAAAGTTGGACAGCTTCTCCAGATAAGGGTTAAGTGATTTTTTTTTTTTTTTTTCCCTGTGTAGATTATCAAATGCACAAATACTAAATGTTTTTATCTACCGAAAAGCGGAAGCTTCAATAGAGAAGTCATGTGAAGAACAGGCATTTTCTTTTACTAAGGAGCAAATTTTATCCTGATGTATAAGCTCTAAAATCATGTTATTAATTGAGATTTTTGTCCCTTGCTTGTGATAAGACAGTAGATCATTTCAGGTACAGCTACCACTTGTGCAGTAAGAGGTCTGAAATCTTAGTGTGTCTCTTGAGATTATATCAGTGTATTAATCAAAGCATTCTAATGATGATGAATCGATCAGGATGGGGGAAAACTAAAAGCGTTGTCATGTATTATCCTATTATTCATTAATGAAGTGAAATATAAAGTTCTTGGGAGCTGTGATTTTTAATGTAGCTGAAGGCTTTATTATAATTCATATCGGCATAACACACTAAGTTAGAAATAGAGAGGAAGGCTGCTGATATATGGTACAATACCATATTTTTTTCATTTAATATGTTAAAGGGGCACTTTTCATACGCTAGTATAAAATTGACAGTAGTTTTAACATTGAGTGATTTATTAGGTGAATTGAGTAATGACTGTCTCATGAGAATGTGATTCTATGCGTGATATTTATTAACTTCCTAGGCACCTTCAATTTTAGTGTTTTTTTTTTTATATTAGAAACCTCGTGAGAGTCATTTTCCAAGACACATACTTAATGTTTTATTTGGGAGGAATAAGCTGTAACTCTAAAATATGCTCTAGTGATACCTMATGATAGCATGGACATCACAGGTGTGTGTGTGTATATATGTATTTTTTTCTTTTCTCTCTCTGCTACCCATGCAATGCTTCCCATGAAGTATCTTTAGAAACAAATGTCTCTGGAGTTCTAATTGCTGTTGCTCTGTGAAAGACATATGGTGATGCGGTTTTCTGAAAGATGCTGTTTCAACTCTCACACACAAAAATAATCTGAAATTGTAATTAAGAAAGTAGCATTTTCATGCAGGGTAGTAGTTCTTTATGTTGGGGAGAACAGGTCAGTGCACATGGATAAGTATGTTGAACGCTATAATGAAATGTGGCRAAGTTGTACTTTAAAAATTGAAGATGTGGCATACATTTTGATAATGGAATAATGTAGGCTCCCTACCCCAACTATCATCTCTGTTCAAGACCATTAGGATTCAGAATATTAAGAGCAGAGCAACTGGGCGTAACAGCCTAYGTTCAACATCTGTTGTACGGGGCTCCATTAGTGTTCAATTGCATCCTATTGTTTTTGGATTATTCAGCCTCCTTTCATTGTCATTGCTTCTGCTRGGGATTAATCAGCTGTTTACAACTAGACCAAGTTTTGGAGTCATAATGAAAACAATTGAGCTATAGTTCTAAATAAATATACAGTATTCAGTCCCTCATGRAAAAAAAATACTAATTTATGAATGCTGGTAACAATTTAATTAAGTTTGAAATCAATACAGATAATCGCGGTGTGGCAGATTTTTTTTTTTTTTCCTTTTAATCTTTTGTGTATCCTGTAAAATAATCATATGATGTTTCCTTGGACATTTCTGTGGGTAAAAGTATTCACTTATAGGAGCACAGTGAAGAAAGGGTGTTTGGATTGTTAAGTGTGAGCCTGGTGCATCTCTGTCATTGCAGAGTGGTAGCAGACGTGATCTCTTATTGCCTTGATCTTTTGATACTTAAGCTTATTATCACATCTTCTTTTATTCCCTTCATTTAAGGATATTCCTAAATATATATWTTTTATGTAAATATACACGTACTCTCTATATAAACATTTTCACAAATAAGATATTTTAAAATGGCCTTTTCTAAGGCTGTATGCACRTATATTCTTGTGTATAACATGACCTCTTCAAGTGATTTTACATTATGTTATTAGATGGATCTACAGCTATGTTTTTACTGTTCAAAAAAATTTCAAATTCTCTTAATCACATTGGATTTTCCTGATGTGAACATATATAATCTCCTCTTTTTCCTCAAGCCACTACTGTCTGCAATATGATATATATCTTATACCACATTAAAATTGAGTCCTAAAGGATTTCTAGTGCTACTACTCATTTCAGCATCACATAGTCTGAAACAGCAGTATGCTCTGCCTTATAATGTTAAGCTAATTCTCTTCTATGTCATCATAATAATTATTGCTTTTCCCTAATACTACTTAACCAGAATCTTCAGATTTTTGAAATAAAAATACTGTAGTGCACAGCAGAGGAGGCGTTTTTTTTTTTTTTCCCCTCGGTTGCAACAGATTACCCATTGAAAAGATCTTTTGCTTAACTACGTGAGCCTTGTGGGGCCAGCCAGACACTACTCCAGATGGCAAGTTGTTAGGGCCGGACAGAATGGCTTTGGAAGACTTCTCAACAGATGAAGGCTCTAATGTTCAGTTTTTACTGGTCTTTTTTTCTTTCCTCCCCCCTGTCGTTCCCAGGGTGGGAAGGTACTGGGATGGAAGCAAAGCACCGCCCGCCCACCTGCTACCACCTGTTTTAGCCTCCACGGCTCCTATAAAGCCGCTTCTTGTCCGTAGGACGCAGTCACTGCTGGCCAGCGGGAGTCAAGGCAAGAGGGAGCGCGCTTGCTCTTGCYACCTTATAACTTTGGATTGCAACAGTTTATCTTCTCAAAACATTTCCTCCTAAGCCGAATGGCTGAATCGGAACTTCTTTTGTTTGAAATAGCCATTGGAAATGATACATTTTTAATCCATTAACAACTTTTTTCTTTTTTTTTGTTTTGCTTGAATGGACCCTTTTTCTTCAGAAACTGACATTCTGAGAACGGAGATTTCACTATTTTCTCTCTCTTTGGGGCTAAAGAAACAAAAAGAATGAAAGCATYGGACACTGCAAACTGCTTATTTTATTAAACAATAAGAACCATTTTTCAGACAATTGCAGAGAACAAAACTTTTTTTTTGGCCTTTTTAAAATTTTTTTTTCCTTGCAAGATGTTATGAAACTGTTCCAATTGGTATCTTAAAAGAAGCTCGAGAAGCACGCAGCTATTCATAGACCTGCTTTCCCTACCACTCCTTACGTATTTCGTTTTTAAGAAACGATCTGTGTGCGTGTGCAACCCAAGCTGCAACAAATATGAAAACCTGTAAATCCAGTCATTTGGATTCGGGGTTAGAATCAGACCTCCAGTGCAGAAGTGTCGTGAAATGTGGTTCGGAGCGGATGGAGAACGCTGCCAAGAGAAGACTGGCTGCAAACGCCAGGGAGAGAAGACGGATGCAAGGACTGAACACAGCCTTTGACCGCTTGAGAAAGGTGGTGCCTCAGTGGGGCCAAGATAAGAAACTCTCCAAGTATGAGACCCTTCAGATGGCTTTAAGTTACATCATGGCTCTCACTAGAATACTTGCTGAAGCAGAAAGATACAGCACCGAGAGAGAGTGGATTAATCTTCACCGGGAACACTTTCACCCCGAGAGCTACCACCAGTATATGGGGCAGAAAGTGGCACCAGACACTGATTCTTATGCACAGCTTTTCAGCTATCATCCCGAACACTTTCAGATAGCTAATTAGAATTTATTGTAAACTATATATAATCAGCAGGCCAGATGGGTAATTAAATAATTGGAGAGAACTAATCTGCTTCAATAAGGTAATACTGGCATTATAATAGCTCATGCTTGTTTACATCTTAACATGATTTGACAGAATAAATTTCTGTTGAAAACATTAAATCAATAGCCATTTAAGGAGGTTGAATATATTTGTTTTTACTGACAGAAAACGCAGACTCTTGATGTCAAATGTTTCTGACAATTCTTTCATAGCTCATCCAAGTCTTTTACTAAAGTAACGCTTTTTCTTTTTTTTTTTTTTCTTAAACTGTGAAGAATCAGGATAATACTTTATAGATCATGGGCCAATCTGATCCATGGCATAACTACATGGAATAATACCAGTTCTGGATTTTGTTCCACATAGTTCTTTTGTGTCACTTTTATGTGAGCTTTAAGGTTGTGTTTTGTTTTCACATTAATGGCTCCCATGGAATAAAGTTTTATAGCATATTGGAGTTCTAATCCTCAGAGAACCAACTTTCTTAAACTTTGTAAGTTTGACGTATGGGTTCCAGGCAAAATTGTGTAGGTTTGTTTTAATCCAATTTATGGTATCTCTTGTATGCTCAAAACAGAGCTAATCTCAAGTCATGTACAGAGTGTTGTTATTTTAGATGGCTGTAAAAGCAAGTGTGATTATATGCTGTAAATAAGACTGCTGGTGTGAAAATAGCCTAAGCTTTTAGGGTTTCGTAGGCTTAACTAACAATGTTTTTTTTGGGGGGGAAGGGGGTGTTCGGTTCTTGATTTTTTTTTTTTTTTTTTTATCTGAAAACAATAATAGATTTTGTAAATCATAAATAAAGTGTTTTCTGTGAAATATTGTTACTGAATACCTGAAGTCCCTCCTCTGGGAATAGCTTGTTGCTGGCTTTCCTGGACTGAACATTATACAACTGCCTTTACAGTCTGGACAATTTTGTGTGCCTCCCCCCCACCCCAAAGTGGGGGGGGGCGGGGAAGGAAGCAAATGAATGTTGCTTGCTGGTCATTGTAAGTAGGAAATGCATTTTTTGCATGCTCGTACAGCAGAGAAAATGGTGCTTGGCCCTGGAGAGAAAGCGTTCCTGCAAAGCAGGAGGCCAAGTCAACCGCGGCGCTCCTCTGGGCTGCTATTTGTTTCACTTGCTTGGGGAAGAGCAGCAGGGTCTGGGCAGAAGGGGCGGGAGCGGAAGGAGGCTGGCGAGAGAGCGGGACAGCTGGGAAGGAAGCAGCTGTGTGTGTTTGTGTGTGTGTGGTTCGGAGCGGGCACCAACGCTGGGTCCGCTCCTGATGCCGCCGCAGGAGCGAGCGCACGGCAGAACAGGAGCCATGCTCCCGAGCAGCTGCCGGAGCGCTTCCAGCAGGGAGGGCTGGCAGCTTCCCCGCTGCCTCCTGCCAGATCTCATATTTTGCTTTCTTATGGATATCCTTGATAAGAGTAATTTTCCGTAGTTAAGCAGCCTTGAATGAAAAAGCAAAAGCCTCGATTAAAAAGTGAGCTCTGGTTTGGGGGTGTGAAGGGCTGTGCTGCCAGAGGAGTTATATAAAAACTCTGACCTTATTATCCATCTCGCCTCAAGCTGTCTTGCCCTTTTGCCCTCAGTCAGTGTCCTGCAGACTAGTGCGTTTGCTAAGCCAGGATTGGGACTGTTCCTGGGACAAAAGCTGCTGGGACAAGCAGTCTGGTTGAGGTTAAACTTGTATTTTAGAGGCACAAGGAGTCAGGGTATCACGTGAGTGACTCGCTGCTTTAAACACTGGTGTTCTGTCACCTTTTTTATGTTGCAGTCTCTCTAAATGGACTTCCTATGATTTTTATATTATTACTTTGTTAACATATGCACAGTATCCTCCATCTCTGTGCCTGTGAATTAAATCTTGGAAGATGGACACGCTCTCTGATTTCGTTACAGAAGCTTTCACAGAGAGCAGAATTAACTTTTGTCCATCACATGGTAAGCTAAGGCTGTTGTTAAACATAAAATTAAATGTTTGTGATATTAAGAATTACTATACACTGAATGAGTAAATGATAATAAGCACACATAAGTTAAAAATGTATTGTTCTATTACCAAAGATTACCAAGAACTTAAAGCAGAGACTTAGGAAGGGCTTCAGTGCGGTGGACAGCTTGTTAACTCCTGGTGAAATAGCCCGTTGCACCCACCCCTGCTATTGAACAGTGTGGTAAGATCAATACCGCATCCTTAGACTGGTCAAGGTAGTGGGAGTTAAATGTTTCACTGGTCTGTTTGACCATGGTGGAATCAATTTGCGGATAATAATTAGTAGGCAGCATCAGTATTGGGCATCATGTTCTAGTTGTTTTTTCCTTGGGGAGGGACAAGGGTGTGGGCAATATTAGCTTATCTATCGAGGCTTTTTGATCTCACTTTTTTTTTGGTAATAGGAAGAAGTTGAAACATTAACAATATTTTCTGAAGGTAATGTGAAGATCAAATGCTTTCTACACAGGTTTGGACTTCSATTGGAATTTTCATACTCAATGACTATTCAGGAGATTGTTGATTTCTTTGCTTGTCTTTCCTTTATGAATATTATGGTGACGTTTTGTGAGATGTAGACTCAGGTATTTAACTGAAGCTTGATAATCACTTGTTTTTCAGATAATAGCAGTGACCCTGGTGCTATACTGATTGGGATGCTATGGGCTTTTGAAACCATTTTCCACCAAGTAACTTTTGCTTCTGATAGGGCTGAAAATTAAGTAAAAGCTTGAAAGCAGAGCTCGTTATTTGATCAGGGACTGAGTTTTAATTGCCCAAAGTTGTGGGTGGGTTTTTTGGTTTGGTTTTTTTTCCCCTCTCTTTCTTCTTCTTCCCAGTCCTGCAGTGCAGAGCTGAGGTCCTTTTGTCTTTAATATCAGGACAGAGTAATTTTAGAACCACATTATTGTGAAAACCCTAAAGATGAGAAATGCTTGTTTCATAGAATATATATCGCATGTGTATGTGCTTCATTGTTGAAATTCAGTATGAAATTCTAATGAGCCATTTGTGGATAACCTACATTTATTCTTTGAATAGGTTCACACTGCGTTCCTGGGTTTCTTCTTGAAGCAGCTGTAGTTACTGTTTTTTCTGTAGTGCTTTGAACCCTGTTTCTCAAGATGTTTGGAACAAAAACCTCCCATCACTTTGTCAGTGTCAAGTGTCTGAAAAAAAGGAATTAGGGTAGCACAGTTCTAAAAGAGGTGGTAGTAAGGAAAAGCCASTGTTGTCTAATAATTGAGATAATCCAAGACTGTCTTATAACCTGAATTCATTCCTGCTTTTTAAGGCCTTCTGTCTTTTCCTCTTGCTATTTGTGAAGCGTTTAGGGCAAAGTTTGATTCATGCACACGTACAGAAAAACATAGGGCAAAGCACAGTTCTTGCCTGGGTTTCCTTAATGCTGATGATGTACAAAAGTATGCAAAGTAAAAATGGTGCTGCTCTTACTTGTAGTTTTTTAAAGACAATGGCACTGCAAGCCCATCACATGGCTGAGGGTGAATATTGTTAGATTTTTTGAATATGTAGCCAAATTTTCTATACCTCATTAGGAAGAATTACCCTGGTAAAGTCTGCGTGGAAGTGAACTGCCATGTAGTGATTGTACAAATTTACAAACATGTTTTTCAACCAAATCTCTAATTTTCCGCAATATGCTTCTACCTTAAGATAATGAGTACCTTTTAGCATAAGTTTCCAGCTCCTTCGGTGAAACAATATGAATACAGTTTTCTGTAATTCAGTAGTGGAATTTATCTAGGTTTTTAACATCTAACAATAATGTACTCTTTCACTCTAAACGACTATAGCTGTTAGCATGTTAGCAATATTAATAATTTTATCTATCACTGTAAGAGACTCAGAAAAAAACGCAGTGAGAATAAAGAAACATTTATTCATTGAAGAAACAGTCCGTTTCCTCTACACAGATTTGTAGTAACAAATGTTGATTTCATCCACTGCTTGGACACTTTAGAAAAATGCTTTATGTTCTGTAACTTCTGCTAACCTTCAGGAAAACAGTGCTTAAAAACTCATGTATAGTATTTAAATAAAAAGCAAAATCCATGTATAATATTTAAATTTGTTTTCTACCAAAGAGTACCTCTTAATACCTGTGTGTAGTTCAGTAGTTTGTATTTCAGTTTTAATTTGTACAGAAAATAGCATGCAAAATATATCTTAACCTATACAGAAATTGCTTTAAATGCCTGCTTATATAAGCTGCAAAGAGTAAGGGGGATGCATCTGAATGGCTTCCTGCTCTCTGGTTTGCAGAATCAATTATTTCACAATTCCAGAATGATGGCTTCAGTATTTTTTGCCATTTCTTCACAAAACTATATGTCAGATAGCTGCTAAAGGCATCTTTGTATTTTGCAGTAAAAGATTCTTTTTTGCCGTAGTGGATTTGAAGTCTAAGGGCATTAATAAAGGAGCTTGATGCTACTTAGAAGGGATAAGGCATGTAGGAGTTGCTCATGCAACAGCTGAGGTAAAATGGCTTTAAGAACATTGTCTTTCATCTAGCAGTCACAGAAATGTATTAAAAAAAAATCAAGGCATGTAGGAATTGAGAAACATGGTAAATTAAGCAAGCAAAACCAGTATCAGCAAATRTAATGGGGGCACATAATTCCCCTCGCCCCATTCTCTTCTACATAAAGACTACAACATTTATCTTCCTCCAAGTGTTACCTTTACATCTGCTACTCACTTTTTTTTCAAAAAAGTAATCTCTCTGTAGTCTAATGATGGCCCCTCTTACAAGGAATATGCTGGATCATTTAACTTGAGAACACATGAGGGGAACAAAAATAKAGAGTGTGGTTTGTGTATTTCACAGAGAAAGTTCCAAATGCTTTGATCCWGATGCAGGAGAGGGATGTGCCAGAGCACTTGTGTGTGAACTGGGTAAGCAAGAGGAGTGTCAGATTCTGCAGGAATTTCTGAGTCGCAGTGCAGTTCAGCTCCTGTCTATGGGTAGCACTACATGCCCAGGTAGGCCTTGGGGATTCATTCTCCAAAATGCTGAGAACTTGGCACAGGTACTGCATGCGTGCACACTGCTCTAAAGAATCCGGGAGTCCCTTTGAGATACCTGAAGAAATCTTCAGACTCAGGTGGAGGCACTGATGTGGCCAGAAAAAGAGTACGTGCTTTAAAACTGGAGGAAAAATGGCATGAAGAATTGTCCCCAGTTAATATATTTAATGAATTTGCTTTAAGAAGCATTCCAAGTGGCTTTCACAACT